ACCTGTGAAAGTATCCACATGCACTGAGCTTAAAAGCTGGCTCACAGAGATCAAATTTCTCTTCAAATATGGAACACATCTAACTTTGAGCTTCAAAACTAATCCATTTGACAACCTGATATCAACATCACCCTTTCTCCGAAATTCACCTTCCCTAAATTACTTTTAGGGTAGTTTTTGAATATGTTTTGTTGGGGCACGCATGAAAAGAGACACCTAAATCCACTATCTATGATTCAATATCATCTAGAGACAAAATAAGGCAGTCATCATGGATTCATTTGTAAAGACATTAGTAGAGAGTTTTCCATTTGGACCTCCATCACAAACCTTTGGAGTTTGGTTGTCCTTTTAGAAGTGACATTTCTTCGATTAGTTTCAGCATTCACCTCTACCTTTCTCTCTCTCTAACTTGAACTTTTCTCTACTAAACTTGAATTTTTCCCTGTCTGTGTTTCTATCCAGATTTCTTCTTTTGTTTTCAACATTCATAATAGAATTTGAAATTTCACCACTCACCTTGTGAATTTCTTCATTCAACTCTAACCTCACAATATCATCAATGTTTAACTTCATGCTACATGAAAAGCTACTCATCAGGGTGACTAGTCCATCTGAACTGTCAGACAATGAAGATAAAAGTAGCAGTGCTCTGATCTCATCATCAAACTCGATGCCTCATAGTATTCAAATTATTGAAATGTTTAGCCACCGAACTAACATCCACCATCTTTATATTGAACAATTTCCTCCTCAGAAAATTTTTATTTGAAGGTGATGGCCTCTCATGCATCCTTGTTAATGCAGCAATGAGATCAACAATAGCTTTCTCATTCACAATGTTGAAAATAACAGATGGCGTAGATTGAAAGTTGGATCAAACCTAGAGTTGTTCGATCAATCACTTCCCATTCTTCCAAAGTCATCAATTTTGGCTTCTTGGTAATTCCTTCAAGTAGTAAATAGAGTTTTTGATACAATAAATATTAAATTTGTATTTTTGAGAAAGTCAAATTTGAACCAATGAATTTCTCCACCTTATACCTTGCTTCGTCAGTAATTGCTCCCACTCGAACCAAAGATATTTAGAAAACCCCACTCTAAATCACTTGTGTTAGAAAATGAAAACTGTGAAAACACCGATTAGAGAGATTGGAAGCAAAAACTTAAAAGGAAAGCACACAAAATTAAATATACCAAAAAACAAAAGAAAACTAAGACAGCACAGAAAAACCCGAGAACGGGAAAAAATCACGAAGCTACACTACAAAAAAATTCACTATGAAGAAATAAGAAGAAAGGTATATATTACACCACACTCAAGCCTCTCTACCCTCTTGGACTGAAGAAAACACTACAGATGCTCCTCCTCTCTTTCACACACAAGAGATCATGAAATCCACAGTGTGCACTAGCAATTCAAAGAGAAGTCGAAGACTTAAAGTCCATAGCTGCTACAAAACGTTAATGTGTTGGCTTTACAGGTGCTCGAGTCCATAGAACAATCTGGGAGCTAATGCACTCCTCCTGGGCCCCACATTCCCTAACTCACTGTTCTAGAAAGCTTTGTTGAGCGCCTAAGCGCCACTCCAGGCACTACCTCAAGGACTTAAGTGTTACATGTATGTAAATATTCCTATATTTTAATTTCATGGAAAAATCAAAGTTTATCATACATGCAACATTTGATTAAAATAAATGCATGATTCATGAAATTAATCTAATATTATACATTTAAGATATATAATTTAAAATTTTTGTTCATAATCAAACTCTAAAAAACAAATAAATTTTGGTTTTTTCATAATCGAACTGTTTAAACCAAATTAAACTTTGGTTCGGGTTTATCAAAATTTTGATTTATTCAATTTTTTGGATTGTAGATTTTAGTTGCAATTGGTTTGACCAATTTGCAAATCGATCCATCTAAACCAACAAATGCTCACCCTTCATTCAAACACATCATTATAAAATTTGAAACAAGGGACTTAAGAACTTTTATGCATCAGGTAAAAAAAGTAATATTTTTTAAAGAAAATAAAGCAATACATATGTCGTTAAATTGATTTCAATGAATATTAAAAGTGCATCAAGGTGAGTAAAGGTGTTTGGGTATCTAATTCTTGATACACAAATATACTCAACTCATGTCATTTATGTCTTGGCTAAGAAAATCTTGGCCGAACTGTATTATTTAAATTTTTTTTCCCAAACCCTATTAGTAGGGAGGTTCGATTGGACTAAGCGGGTCCATGCCCAGAACAACCCATAAAATAAATACATCATGGTATCTCACTTTGATGGTGTAATTAAGTCAAATAGAGTTGAGCTACACCTAATATAAGCTCAACTCAGTCATTTTTTCCTAAGCCCAAATTCAAGCTTAGGTATATCTTGCCAAATAAGCTCGAGCGCATCGACATACTCAAGCTCCACAAGGCTAGCAAGTGAAATTGATTTATTAAGTCTTTTAATTTTATTCAAATATATCCTTGGCAATTTTGATATCCATATGTTGTGTTCACATGAATATGTGATTATGAATTTTATGCATGCTCATAACTCACATACTAAGATGACATGAAAAAAGTAAAATTCAAAAGATAAATCTTCTTGAGACAAAAGCCAAATGCACATAGTGATAACTAATATGTAGTATAATTTGTTTAGTTTTCAAGCAACCCTGATTCTGCATGCTTCTAGTGTTTCACCAAACTATTGGCATTCTTCTAAAACATTTTCCCCAAGGATGAGGACATACATTTATGTTAAAACATCTCAACACTAATAAAGTTTTTGTAATTTTAATGTTATCGTAATATATAGACAGAAAGCATTCAAGTTTATGATATAGAAGCTCTCGGAAAAATAAAAGTTAAAAACAATATTATAATTGAAGAATGGTGATCAATTTCAATGACATCATAATTAAACCATGCAGTGGCATATAAACTATCAAGTCAAATGGGAAATATGGATGATGATGATACAACAACAACAAAGCCTTAATCCCACTACGTGGGGTCGGATACATGAATCTTTTTTCTCCATTGCGTCCAATTTAGTGTCATATTTTCATTTAGTTCTAGTAAATTAAGATCATTTTTTATACAATAAGCCCAAGTCTTCCTAGGTCTCCCTCTGCCTTTCTTAACATAAGTCGAATCTAAAACATCTACTCTCCTAATCGGATCATCAAATAGTCGACGTTTGCTATGACCAAAGTATCTAAGACGACTCTTTATAATTTTATCCGTCACTGGAGCTACACCAATCCTATCACGGATATACTCATTTCGCATTTTGTCTCTAAGTGTAAAGCCACTCATCCACCTAATCATTCTCATCTCGGCAACACTTAACTTATTATTATGCGTCTCTTTTAAAGGCCAACATTCAGTGCCATAGAGCATTGCAAGTTTCTGCACCATCTTATAAAATGTTTTTTTCAGTCTAAGCAATACTTTTCTATCACACAAAAGACCGAAAGCATTCCTCCACTTCAACCAACCAACTTGAATGAATTCTACCCTACCATTAACATCCCCATCTATATCATCATCACTTTGAACAACAGACCCAAGATATCTAAATCATTCACACCTTTTAATAATTTGATCACTCAAAGTTATACTTCTGTCGCTAGAGCTATTACTACTAATATTACATTCCATGTATTCAGTTTTAGTTCTACTTAAATGAAGGTCTTTAGACGCCAATGTAGACCTCCATAATTAAAGTTTTTCCTGAGCTTTTTCTCTCGTTTTATCCACGAGAAGGATATCAGTAAATGTCCAGTAAGACCATCCATAACTAAAGCAAAAAAATATGGGTGTAAAGTCGATCCCTGATGTAATCCGACAAAAATAGGAAAATATTTGGTCAATCCTCCTTCAGTTTGAACACAAATAACAACTCTAATGTATATATCTTTAATGACTTGAATATAAGTCATATCAACGCCTTTCTTCTCAAGAATGCTCCAAAGGACATCTCTTGGAGCCTTATCGTAAGCTTTTTCTAAATCAATAAAAATCAAATGCAGATCCTCCTTATTATCTATGAACTTCTCCATCAAACCTCTCAATAAATGTATAGCTTCCATGGTAGACCTGCCCGGCATAAATCCAAATAGATTATGAGAAATCCTTGTAATACGTCTCAACCTATGTTCAATTACCCTTTCCCACAATTTTAAAGTATGACACATCAACTTAAATCCTCTATAATTTGCAGACTCTTGTGCATCCACAAAAATAGTAGTAATCAACTATGATTTTTTGTGGCTAATTATTACTATTTCAGCCAAAAATCACATCTTTTGTAGCCTAATTATGATTATTATAGCTAAACTACTGCTGCAAATCCATGATTATCAGATTTATAATTTTATTTTCCCTAATTCAGAAGACCGGACCTATCTGCTTACAATTACACAGTAGATTACTTTGACTAGGCTAGGTCCCACGATTTTTTTTTTCCTTTCAAAGGTTTTTCACATAAAAATTCTGGCATCTTCTCCTACTACTTTTTATTTATCTGTGTGTGATGAATCTTCATGCAATGCTAAGACTTTAAAATATCACTCTTCTGTCACAAATTTTTTGGCAATCAATAATGGTAATGTCAACAAAGACAGTGATTATGTTCCAGCGCTATCCTATACTTCAGCCAGTAAACCCGATGCATATTAATCAACAAATTCCCTGGATTCCAGATTCAAGAAATATTTTTTTCAATATACCAAAACCTATAAATTTACGCATATATCATTCACAAAATCCAGTATCAAAAACCACACCCTCAGCCCATCAATAATATAGTTGGATCAAATCAACAACAAGCACTTCCAGGGTGAAAAATCCCCGTATCAACAACATTACGAAATAAGAGCACGCATGATCAGTTACAGATATTAGCAAAACCCGAGTGACCACAACGATCCATGCGAGATTAGAAAAGAAAAAAACATTCCAAGATTGAGATGTTGGATATCAGACCTGAAGACCAGCTCGGGAAGAGCGCGACACTGGTTTCTTCTTATCCTTGTCTTTAAGGGCCGAGGACTTGCCCATGATCAGGCCTTTAGCGCCTTTACCAGACATCTCTCCCTCCTGAAACAAGCTGCTTTCCGCCAAATCGTGAGCTCGAAGGCTCGAACACAGATCGGAGGAAAAGAGTGAAGAAGCGAAGCAGAAGGATGAATGTGACGCTGGGAGGAAGTCGCACTAGCATTGCAGATGAAAACAGGAACAAACAAGCGAAAGTTGACAGTGCTGTCCCTCTCTTGTCTTTGTAATTACAATAGTGCCATTTCTAACTAGCGTTAATCCTGGCCGCTGGTTATGTGATGGGTAGAATCTCGATCCCGTGATGTCGTAACTAGAATTTCAAAATGTATCGTGTATTATTTAAAAACTTATTCTATTTGTTGATGTTTGTAGGGCAAAAAAGTGGCTGATTTAGCCAATTAAAGTAAGGAAAATGGTGATCCGGGCGGCCAGAGGCTTCGGTGAATGAAGAATAGAATCAGTCGAGGGTCGGTCAACTTTTCATTCGGAGCTGGAAAAGCAGTGCGAGCCATTTGATCCAAGAAATCAATAGAGAATTAACGACCGAACAGGAGGCGAGTGAACTCTAAAGTCTGGCGACCGCACCCTACTTGTTGGTGACTAACTCATACCTCTTGTGCACGATTAGCCGGCATACTAAGGTACCACAAAATGTCGGTCGACCTAAAACAAGCGCTTGATACCAAGGTTCGTGATAGGGCAATCAAAGGTTGGTGTTCGGTATAGCTGAGGCAGAATAGGAGCAACGCTCGCCGTCTCACTTGAATAAATATCTCACACCGTAAAGAAATCATAAACTAGTAATAGTCGTACAGAAAAACCCTACGGAATTCTTTTGACAAGATTTTCTTTTATTTGAAATAATTTTTGGTCCCCCCAAAAGGAGTAGACTCTTATAAATAGGAGGTATTGTACTAGGGGTGTCAAAAATTGATCTGATATTTCAATACGACTCAAATTCGACTTGAAAAAAATCTGGGTTCGAGTTGTCCTGAATATTTTTTGAATCGGTTTGGTTCAAAGAATTTAATCCGTTTATTATTCGGGTCAGCTCCAGATCGACCCAATGTCAAAAATTGATCTGATATTTCAATACGACTCAAACTCGACTTGAAAAAAATCTGGGTTCGGGTTGTCCTGAATATTTTTTTAATCGGTTTGGTTCAAAGAATTTGATCCGTTTATTATTCGGGTCGGCTCCAGATCGACCCAATTCAGGTCGGTCATTTTCGAGTCGAAGCTTAACCCATCCTACCGACATGAATCGACATTCATATACTCAATCAAAAAGAAGACCTCCCATATTTGACTTGATTAGGAAATCTTGGTCAAACCTCTAAGAATATTTTTTCTCAAACAAAATTTTTTCGTTTATTTACATGTGTTCTATCCATTGGATTTCATTCTAGAACAAATATTGGTTCAATACCTTTGAAAGATATAATGAGTGGGGAATCATTCTGTAAACAAAAAGAGGAGTAGCACAAGAGAAAGAAAGAATTCGGGAGAACACATATAACTTATAGCATGCCAGAGACTTTGGCGTCCCAACAGATCTAAGAAGTCAAGGATCAAATGAGAGAGATGATTAGGGAGGTGCTTTGGCAAGAAGCAAATCCCACACTCCAACCAACAATCCTTGCACATCGGAGACCCAATCCAAATGTAGAAGTGTGCACGCTTCGATGTGAAGCATGAATGATGAGATGTGCCATCCTGACAATACCAGATCTACACATCAAGATCGGCACAGATAAAGGAGTATGAACATACCGTGGCCAACCCTTATTAACACTTTCTGTCAACGGATCTTGGGGATGCATTGACCCCAAAATATTGTTATAATTATTAGAGATTGCCAACGAACACATCTTAGCAGTGGAATACAACTTACCCGCAGTCTCTTTGAGCTCTAGATAATCACAGACATATCTATTAAAGTTCTAGTGGATGTGACTAAACACCAAGTCTCCCCAACGAACACATCTTAGCAGTGGAATACAACTTACTCGCAGTCTCTTTGAGTTCTAGATAATCACAGACATATCTATTAAAGTTGTAGTGGATGTGACTAAACACCAAGTCTCTAGATGCCGCCAGCGACGTGCCCTTGGTATGAAGGTGAACATTCTCACCATGAGACATACATTTTGAAGAAGCCATGCCAAGATCAATGTAGGACACAGTACCTAGGGTGAAGAGCGAAGCACTACACAGATAGGCCACTACCACAGATTCATCAAATCCCTAAACTGGCCTCACTAAGAATCTCAATGGTAGAATTTGTGGAAGGCATCAAGAATAAGGACTAATATCGGAAGCCCGCTCCCGTGAAGGCCATGGGATATGCTCGTGATATGAAAAAAAATTGTGCCTATCACCGAAACTATGGGCACAACAGTGAAGAATGCAGCCGCCTTTGGACCTTACTTAAGGAATTGATTCAAGTTAGTAAGATAAAAGAATTCATTGTCCCCTTCATCCTCAGAGGAGATGAAGTAGAGGCTGCTTGGTGAATCAACTTAAAAAGATTCTCCTCATGCGATACTTATATAGTTGTCTTGTCTCTATGAACCATCACATTCACTAATGAAGATCTACCGCCTAAGGACAACTTTTACAATGATGTGATTAATTTTACAGCCCTCATCAAAAAAGTTTAAAGAGGGAGCATTATCGTTAACATCAATGGCTCAATAAGCATCTCGCTCAGATGAGTACTTGACAAAATGGGTCTTTGAAGGCTACCTCCAAAAAAGAAAATTATATGGTTTCTCCATGGAGAAGAGAGAAACCTTAGGGTTACTCTCACTGTATTTTCCCAGAGGAGAGGGCAATATAAAATTCAACGCTATCGTCGATTCCATCACAATTGATTCACGTGTAACTTATAATGTTACTATCGATCGATCTTACTGGGAACCTTCAAGGTATTACAACCTACCACAAAACTGTAAAGTTTCTAGGCATTGGAGAAGACATCATGATGTGAGGAGATCTAAAGTTTCCATGCACCTAAACTTGTGAGCTATTGGTAGTATACAGTTGAAACAAGTGAATTAGATATAATGCAAGAATGGCCTAGAAACTAAAGAGGTGACTGAGGAAATCTCCACTGACTTGAGAATAAAGGTAAGTATTTTTTACTAAGTGCCACTGTTGATGCAGAGTATAAGGAGACTCTCACTCAAATCTCTGGGCATACAACAACATCTTTGTTTAGTCAGTGGAAAAAGTGTCATGAGTTTCCCTTGCTGTGGTTTGGCATTGCCTTAACGTCACCCTTTGGCCAGGTCGATTAAAAGAAGATGAAGTCGGGGGTCCTATCCCCAGTCGATTCCATTAAAGAGAAAATTCAAAAGCTACTGGAAGTAGGATACATCAAAGAGGTGCAATGCCATATTGGGTACCAAATATGGTTATGGTTTGCAAGGTGATAAGAAAGTGACAGATGTACGTTAATTTCACTGACCTAAACATAATTTGTCCAAAAGATATCTACCCCTCCCCTATATTAATGCAATTTTGGACTCTACAGTCGTGCATCCCATCATGATTTTTTTTAATTTATTCTCAGATTATCATCAGATAAAGATGCACCCAACCGACATCGAGAAGACTGTGTTCATCACATAAAAGGGAGTATTTTACTACAATATAATGCCCATTTGGTCATAAGAACATTGGCATGAATTATCAACGCATGATAGATATAATATTTTAAAATTGAAAAAATTTATATGTTAAGGTTTGTGAATGATGTATTGGTTGAAAATAAAAAGTCATAACAACATAAAAAATACCTTAATGTAACTTTTGAAACACTCAAAATAAATAGTGTGACATTAAATCCCTTCAAGTCTACCTTTGGGAAAAAAAAACAAGAAAATTCTTAGGTTACTTAATCAGTTTAGAAGAGATCAATGGCAGCCCAAAAAAATTCAAGTGATTATAGCACACCATCACTCTATAACGTCATAGAGTTGTAGAGGGTAACAATTTGAATCACATGATTGTGTTAGTTCATATCTAAATGATGCTACAAGTTTGCAACATTCATCAAGGCCCTTTGAAATAACAAAGGGTTTGCATGGGAAAATAATTGTGAATAATCCTTCAAGCAATTGAATGAATCTTTAACCTCACTAACCTTGCCCTAACATCCAAAGTCAGACGACGAGCTTGCATTGTATATTGGTGTAGGGCTTAAAGAAACCAGCTTGGTATTAGTATAGGTGGGACATGAGAGGCAATTCCCTATCTACTATGTTAGTCATTTTCTGAGATGATGGTACTCAAGTGCCCAATCATGAAAGAAACTAGCATTTGCTTTGATTATTTTATTATGAAAGTTATGACAGTATTTTAAGGTGCACAAGGTGTGGGTGAACACTAACTATCCTCAAGTAAGTACTAATGAGACCAGATAGTAGAGCTTAGTGAATTTAATCTATCTTATGTCCTCTGATTGATGATAAAACCTTAGGCAGTGCAAGATTTCGTCAGAGATTTTCAGGGGTTGGCAACAATGATGATGAAACTCCCACACCATAACCATCATGGACTTTGTATATTCATGGGGCATCAATACCCCAAGGGGCATGCATAGGGCTCATGTTGATGAGTCGGTCCATACCATATATTTATCATTACTTAGAAATGGAGTTTGAAATAATTAATAATCAAGCAAAGTATGAAGCTCTCATTGTCAAGCTACATCGCCTACATGGGATCAAAGTGTGGTATCACATCATAACATCTAACTCATAACTAGTGGTCAACCAGGTGAACAGGTAGTTTGAGGTGAGAGAAGAAATGATGATAAGGTATTTCGCTGAATCCAAGACAGAAATAAAGAAATTTGAATGCTTTGTAATCAAACATTTTGCTCGGGATAGCAACCAAATCATTGTCCTAGTGCCTAAATGCAGTAATCTAGCTGGGACATCACCTCTGAAGTTAATGCGACCAACAATAAAAGAAGTGAAGGTCATGGAGGTGGTAAGCAAAAAAAATAGCAAGTTGGAAGGACTCAAACATTTATTTCCTCAAGACTGTGAAACCCTTTACGTTATAACTAGACGAACAACCTCGAAATTATAAGACTAAAGTGATGTTTATTGAAAGAAGAAAAATCTCAAAACCTAGTCTA